GTGTTAGGATAACGCTGGCCTCACAAAATGAGTTTTGAAGTGTATGGCTGGTAATTTTCTTATCAAACATTGTGATTTTAACTTTATGGTGTAAAATATTATTGTATTGTTATAAATATTATTGAGCTTTGTTCTGTGATGCATTTAAGCTATGTGAAAATAGTTTGATACTATCTGGTCTTGCTTTTAGGCTAAGTTGAATCAAAGCTGTATTTAGTCCAGGGCTAATTTGCCACTCTATTGAGACAAATCCCTTTAACCCTTTCTATATGCTACCCAATACTCCATGAAAATGAAAATGATTTCATGCCTAAGTCATAGGTGTCGTTTCTTCTAATCCTTTCTGGTGCTTCATTCCTAGGTAAGAATTGTTTCTTTGCACAATTTCACTGATCAGTACTCAGCTGAAGACTTGAGGGAGACTCTGCATATCTCCTAAGTTCTCTTCATGCAGCTCTCTCCTTTAGAGTACTCCATCCTGCAAACTCTAGCCACCTCGGTCTCCCTAAACTCTTGGCTCTATTTTCTTAACTTAGGTATATCTTTGGGTCTGACTATGTTTCTCTTAACTTCACCATGGCCTGGAATCTCAGGCTAAAGTGTAAGCAGGTGAAATTGTTTTCTGTTTCTGAAGGACTACTATCTATTGTTTGATATTCAATGTCTTGAAAACCATTGTTTCATATTTAAAAATCTATTGTCTTGAAAACCATTGTTTCATATTTAAAAATATATTGGTTCAGTTGAGTAACATGGAAAGGTAAATATGATCCCTATTACTCCATTTGGTTAAAAGAGAAAATCTCCATGATAATTTTAGCTAGAAAGATAATAAAAAATACTAGATATACATAGGAAAAATCTCTATTTTTATTAAAATAATGCAAAACTAATGAAGGAATATTATATACAGTAGGCACTATTGTGTTCTTACTTTATCCCCCGATAGTGTAATGTTAGTGGTTCCCACAGCCTCTATTCAAATGATAGTTCATCATAATTTTTTTGTGAGAAGTATTTCTTCATATACATTGAATAATTTATTTGTAAAAACATTTATGGAGGACAGAGTATACACTTCACAAAAATGTTTACACTAATTAAGTTATTGCCTACCCCTCCTTAAAATATTATAATATTTATATAACTTTAATTAATTTGATTCATATAAAGATGTCTTCAAAGGCCAATGATGAAATGACAATTCCCAAAGATATGTAATCAAAAGTGAAGGATACTGGATTCTCATTCTTTGCTCGCATTATCTTGCTGTTTGAGGTTCTCATACCTTTCAATATGCTGTAACGCCCATAAGTCAGGAGCAGTGCCCCATCACGTGTTGCTCCTGCCCCCAGTGCAATGCTTTGCCAATTAGATTGTAAAATGCTTACGTCTAATCCTCTAAACTCTAGAAGCCTCAATTCAAATTAAGCAAGGAGCTAGATGATTCTTTAAGGTTGCAGCTCTGAAGCCCTTTGTTGCTGTGCTTCCCTAAGTGTTGGACTGTAAATATTAGTTAAGTTTTTTGTCTTTGAAAAAGTGAATTTCTTCCATTTTTTTTTTATTAAATGTAGTCTAACAGGCAGTTAAATTCTTCTTCTTTTTTTAATTTTAAAGAAGGCAGAAGACCAAAATGGCCATGTTCATTAGGGCCATTTGCCAAATATTCCTGATTATATTCCTCTAGACTATAATGTTGCACACACATCCCAGGACCTTGGGCTGTGTGAATAGTTTAGACCAATGAACTATAAGCAGACAGCAATATGTCCATTTAAGGACAATTTAACCAGCTTAAGACCCATTAGTGTTCTCCTTTCCATCTGGCACAGTGATTGACAGTGGTCAAGAAGTTAGCTATTCCCACTGACTGTGATGAGCAGAGACCCCCCTCCCAATTAGGGCTGGCCAGGTAAAGGAAGCAAGAAAGAGAATACTCATTATTTTAAAGCCATTGAAATCTGAGGGTGATTATTACCACAACATAACATCCTGACAGATACTGTTATAAAAGTAGATAGAAAACAAAATAAAACAAAAAACTAAACAAAAAATTAATTCATACTTTGAATAAGCTAACTGTATGATTTAAGGATTGAAATGTGCAAATACTCTTATTCAAACATTTTGCTCAGTGCTACAATCCCAGAGTTTGAATTTTAAAAACGTGGGTTTTGACATTGTTTCTATAAATAAATACACAGCAATAGGCAGTGAGAAGAAATGTTTAAATGATAGTAAGGAGCTCATGAAGGTCTTAAGAACCTCAAATGATGGTCACCCAAATTCCTGAAATATAAATGTTGATATTGCTTCATACATACTAAAATATCTTCTATACAAAAAAATAACTCATTAATAACTCTGGTACTTATTTTGTATATTTGTAATTAAAATTTATTTTTTGTTCTCTCCCTAGTGTTGACATAACCACTTATTTTGTGAAATTAAGGAAATAATAAAAATAAATTAATATAAACATGAAAAGAACAAATGTTAAGTATATTTTACTTAACATTTAATGATGTTAAACTAAGTATATTCTTTAAATTTCTTGGTTTAGCAAATGGCAATATAGAGTATCAGAAAATTTTTGTTTATTGTGTTTTGGAAAACCATAGAAGAGTATGAGAAATTTGCTATTGAAATTTATTTTTATTACTCTGAAAAGATTAGCAGAATGTTTACAGACCAATTTGATTTTTTGTCAGCTATTTTAAATACCTTCACAATTTGTCATTTCTCTCAACTATATTTCTAAATAATTTAAACTATTTCTTCTGTCTTCCTGGAGCATTTAAAATGTGAAGGATGAATTTTCCACCAATTTGGTAAATTGCTACTCAACAAAGGGATGTCCTCATCTCTGAGCCATTCCTAAAGTTGCTTTTATGCAAATACTAATCTGAAAATAATGCAGAAATATGAAATGCAATCATTGCAGACATTTTTTACCCCATCCCTATACATTTATTGCAAAAAATGTTTTAATTTGTCCTTATTTTTTTCTTGCATTTGTAAATTTGTTACATAATTGCAACCATAAACATAAACTGTGTTTGACTTTATTTTACTAATTTCTTCAACTCAATTCTACATTGATAAATTTTCTTCATATTTAACAAACTTTCATTTTCAACCTGACTTGATGTTGAACCTAAAATATACAAGTACAGATCTTAATGATTGCCTGGATATGCTTCACTCTTTCCAGTAATGCCCAGGGGAAGTCACCTGGATCACAACTTCTCAAATCCAACGTCTGACTTTGGTAGTGAAGATGATTTTCTTTGGAGCAGCTCAAGTGTTAGAATAATTGCATATAATTCAATTAGATTAAATACTGTTACCACGAGGCTGGTTTTCCTTAAGTAAAAATCAGATCTGTGCCCTTGTTATTATTTTTGCCAGAGCTATTACAACCTCTAATCTTTCTGCCTCTAGTCTCTGCCATCTCCGGCGCATTGCCCGCCCTGCTTCCAGAGGAATATGTAAACGTGGTTCAGGCTTCCTCGTGATTAACAGCATTTGAAATACTTCATGTTGACTTCAGGGTAACGTCCAAATCCCTTAGGATCGCTTTCAAAATCCTGCATTATCTGTTCTCAACCTACAGACTCATCTATAAAGACGTCTCTTACTCTTTCAGACAAAGTTAGTCACACTTGAGGCTATCAATGCCTGTGCAACATCTATTATGTCACTTGTCTCTTTGAGTCTAATCGTTTTATATATCTGTCCACTGGTCCGTGACTCCTTAAGGAAACAGACCACAATTTATTTATTCATCTTGTATCCTATGTCTCTCACTTTCCCTTATGCAGTTCCTGTCTCTCCTAGCTGCCTACCTCCTTCCATAAAGGATTTGACCGATAAAATAATAACAATTTAAACAACAATGACAACAATAATGTTAGGATTTATCAAACCCTTGCTATTATCAGATATTATCAGATATAATGCTATATAAGGTGCTTTGCATATATTGCCTAATTTAATTTTGATTAACACATTATGAAGGTTTTTTTTAATATGCTCCCACTTTACCCCACATGAAAAAACTAATTTTATTCAAGTTAAATCACTTGTCCATTGTCTCCCAGGTAAGTGGCAAAGCTGTCATTTGAACTTAGATAATCTGATTAATAAAATGTGATTATTTGATGTTTGAAAAATAACCATCAGTCATGAGATAGCAAGGAGTTTGTAATGTAGTCTAATTTAAAAAATAAATTATTAATATGAAGAGGGTAACTTTACTACTAATAGTCCACTAATTAGGATGCATTTTTATACATACACTGCATAAAGTCCGGATAGTTTTATTTCAAAGGCACAAAGATGACTAGGAACAGAACACTAGCGATAATTGAAAAGTTGAAAGAAGTAATGAAATGCATATGTGACATCTTTTTAGAAAGACTTGTTTTCAAATATCTCCAGGTTTAACAAACTGCAAGCTTTATAACTCAACAAAAGTAAGAGTGTTGCTTAAAGAATTTGGACCAGAACTTTGATTCAAGAGACAGTTGCTGCCAAGTGCAGTGTAATACATATGCCTATTCTAAGGGTTACCCTAGAAGCAGACCCTGAAACAAAAATGTGACTGCTATAGTTTAGGAGAGGTAATCACAGGAGGTACAGGGGCATAAGGGGAGGGGGAATGTGGAAAAGGAAGGCAGGAAAGGAAAAGCAACCTATAAAAAGCTCATTGTTGGGCCTGTCACGGTGGCTCACACCTGTAATCCTAGCACTCTGGGAGGCGGAGGCAGGAGGATCACTCAAGGTCAGAAGTTCAAAACCAGCCCAAGCAAGAGGAAGACCCTGTCTCTACTAAAAATAGAAAGAAATTAGTTGGCCAATTTTTAATTAAAAATAAAAAAAAATGCTCATTGCCTAAACTGCTTATCACTGTGGGCGACTGAGGTGCAATCCTTCTAGGGAACTCTGGGAGACAATATGGAACACACTTCAGAATTTTCTCTCCGGGGACTACTTACTGCCCAACTCCCCTTCTTCATTGGTTCACACTTGCTCCAGGAACGTTAATGTCTCCCAGAACTTCTGATCTTCCCCTTGTGGAGAAATGAGAGAAAGCACTCAGTTGGCCATCTGCACGTACTTGTAACAGGACCCTCTTGGCTTATCCTGGAATGCTGCGTGCCAAGGAGATATTGGCGGTGCACCTGCATCAGCTCCTAGAGCCTTCACTCACGAGCCTCTTCCTCCAACAAAACAGATCTTTGCCTGGAGCTACACACACAGACAGACAGACAGACAGACAGACAGATGTGTGCAGTGTATATAGGAATGCTGTATGTTCCAGCTGGATGTTTTCAGACACCTCAACAGTACATGGTCAAAATGGAACTCATTATCTTCATCCTCAATCCTTGAAAGCTTCAGATGTGCCCCTCACACAGTGCGCCCCTCTGTCAATCTGTATTTCGTCAGATCAGATGCCCACGTCCGTATCATGGGAGCCCTGTTTAACTACTTTGAGTTACCAAGCCATATCCATCCTATTCCTAAGTATACCTTCAACCTGTCTTCTACGGGCCACCTTCAGCTCGCACTTAAATTTCTACAACAGTTTCTAAATTGGTTACTATAGCACTCTCTTAAACGTCTACGCTACTCGTTTTATTTCAAAATTGTAACTGTCTATCTGTCATCCTGTATCTCCCAATATACTGCAAATGCCTTGAAGGTAAGAACCACATTTTGCTCGTTGTTCTACCTCCACTTTGGATCCTGGCTTATATTAAGTCATCATTAAATCATTGTGACTGGAATGAATGAATGAGTGGAAAAGAACCTTTTACATTTCATGTGCAGTAATCATTTGAGCTCAGGCAGATAGATATTATCTAAACATTTTTAGAAGAGAAAGCCTTTGTTGCATAGGATACGTCTTGCATTCTTTTGTATCTGCCTTTTTTTTTTTTTTTTTCCTGACTGGATGGTATGTGGCTGTTAAACATCTCTGAAAAACCACGAGCCATTTAAAAAACGGCGGAGTAGAGGTGCCCTCCTGGCTGTCTGCTCCCAGGGAAAGAGGTGAAGAACTCAGACCGCTACGTCCCAGTGGATTGCTCCCCCACAAGAACAACATGGTGAAACTGCAGAGAAACAGCATGGGACACACGACACAGGAAAACAAACAAACAAACAAACAAACAAACAACCAACCAACAGGTGAACTGGAGATAGGATTGCAAAGTCTGGAGAGTGCGAGGTAAACAATAAAGAACAGAGTGTGGGACAGCCGCCAGCCCAGCCAGCGACCGGACCCACGGGAGAACGTCCTGCCCCCACTGACCTCCACGCCCGCTCAGTCAGGGACGCGCCTGAAGTTGGTGCAACTTCCGGGCAGGAGGCGCTGGGCTCTGTGGAGAGGAGACGATAGCGGGAAACGTCTTGAGCTCCCCAGAGCTCTGTGCCAGGACGGCCTGGGCGGGGCAGGGACTGGTCTGAGCAGCCTGCTCAAGGGACTGGGAGACAGGCACCTCGCCTCTGGTCGTCAGCGGGACCAGAGCAACTGTGGTGAACGCTGAAAAGGGCGCTCTGACTGGAAACTGCTGCTGACGGTGAGGCCGGCTCAGGTGGCTCAGAAGGAACAAGGCCTCCTGTGTCTGACAGGCGTGAGATTGCAGGAAGGTGACACACAGGAGAAAACGGGCGTCCTGTTGACTGAGCTCCCCGCCCGGCATCCTCCCGGGCGCCGGCTCTGTGGGACGGCGGCCGCCATGTTGGGTCCGCAGCCCGGGCGCTGTGGCGCGCTGAGCTTCCGGCAGCGCCCCTCCTCCAGCCTGGGGTCTCTCCCAGCCGGCACGTGCAGCAGGCTCTGTTCTTCCGCGACCTATCCTCCGCCTGCCAGGCCTGTTTTGTTGGGCGAATTTTGAGTGTTTCCCCACAATGCTAGTTCCCCGGTTGTAGGAGGCTACCGCCTGTGGGATCCCCAAGCACCGGGGCGCTGCGAGGGCCCGGACATCACCCCTTCCTGCAGCGCAGCGACTTTCGTGCCAGAAGTGGTGGGCTCCACCCCTGGAGGTAAGGAGAGGCAAGGAAAGCCACTTTCCCTGTGTGACTGGCGTGAATGTGGGGGCGTTGGCACAGATCAACAGTTGCCAGCCCATGATTTGGCCTGTCCGACTGGCTTAGGTCATCTGATAGGATCACAACTCTGGGGCCTGTTCTCTGCCTCCCGGTGGCTGCCAACAGTGGGGTTTGTGGTCAGGGAAGGAATATCTTGGCCAGAGGCCACAGCAGGTGCATTAAGTGACCCCTCCCATCAGGAGCAGCCTGCCAAGTGTGGAGAAAGAGCCCTGAATAACATATTAGCGGCTCCCCCTAGCAGCAGATCAAGCAACCATGGAAGCACACACATCCAGGCTGGTAGGCAGCAGCTGTGATCTGCCTTGCTCCTACCACCACTTTAAGGGGCAATAGGGTCCAAGTAACCCTTGGGAGTGGCAAGATTCTTCCTAAAGATCGGGGCATTAGTATTCCTCACTCACAGACCAGAAAACAACCCAGAGGCATCGGATTGCCTTGATAACTGGCTCCTCCACGCAATCTACAACCAGTGACAGAGAGGGTAACCCCATAGCTTAACCAAGTGCCCTCCATCTTAAGCTATTAGAGGGCAGGTGAGTTATACACACAGGTGGAACACAGAAACAAAAGACCAAAATATACAAGAAATGTGGGATTATGTAAATAAACCAAATATAAGAGTTATAGGCATCTTGGAGAGGGAAGAAGAAAATACACAAGGGCGAAGAAAATACACAAGGGCTGGAAAATCTATTTCTTGGAATACTGGAGGAAAATATGCCTGGCCTAGCCAGGAACACAGATATCCAGATACAAGAAGCAGACAAAAGTATACAGTGGGGAAAAGAATCTCTATTCAATAAGTGGTACTGGAAAAACTGGATATCAACATGCAGAAGATTGAAAGTGGATCCTCACCTCTCACCTCTCACAGAAATCAACTCACAGTGGATAACAAACTTAAACCTAAGGCATGAAACCTTAAGAATTCTGGAAGAAAATGTGGGGAAGACTCTTTTAGACATTGGCCTAAGTAAAGAATTTATGAACAAGATCCCCAAAGCAATCACAGCAGCAACAAAAATAAACAAATGGGACCTGATCAAATTAAAAAGCTTCTGCACAGCCAAGGAAACTGTCATTAATGTGAATAGACAACCTACAGAATGGCAGAAGATATTTGCTTTGTACACATCTGATAAAGAGCTGATAACAAGAATCTATGTGGAACTTAAGAAAATCAAGAAAAAATCAAACAACTCCTTCAATAAATGGACAAAGGACATGAACAGAAACTTTTCAAAAGATGACAAAATAATGGCCAGCAAACATACAAAAAAGTGCTCAACGTCTCTAATCATCAGAGAAATGCAAATCAAAACCACAGTGAGATATCACCTAACTCCAGTGAGAATGGTCTCTATCAAAAAGTCCCAAAATAACAAATGCTGGCATGGATGTGGAGAGATTGGAACACTCTTACACTGCTGGTGGGACTGCAAATTAGTACAACCCCTGTGGAAAGTAATTTGGAGATATCTCAAAGAGCTAGAAATAGAAATACCATTTGATCCAGCAATCCCACTACTAGGCATCTATCCAAAGGAAAAAAGATATTCTATAATAAAGACATCTGCACTTGAATGTTAATAGCAGCACAAAGATGTGTAAACAACCCAAGTGCCCATCAATACATGAGTGGATAAATAAAATGTGGTATATGTATACCATGCAATACTACTCAACTACAAAAAACAATGGTGATCTAGCACCTCTTATAATATCCTGGATAGAGATTGAGCCCATCCTTTGAAGTGAAGTCTCACAAGGATGGAAAAACACACCACATGTACTCACCATCATATTGATACTAACTGATCAACACTAAGGTGCTCATATGGTAGTAAGACTCACTAGGTGCCGGTCACATAGTGGGTGTTGGGGGTGGGGGAGAGAACTGGGAGGTAGAGGGGTGGGGGTGTAAACCCACAGTTAATGGAAACGGGGCACACTGTATGGGGGAAGGACACTTTTGTAGCTCTGGCTTGAGAGAGGCAAATGTATTTCATGTAACCAAAATGTTTGTATCCTCATAACATCCTGAATTAAAAAAAAAAAGTCATGCATCTATTGATTGTTTATAGGATATTGCTTTAAATGCATTTTTAAATTAATAAGCAAATGATATGAACAGTGTCTTGTCTTAATGTTTAAAAAATGACTTGCTTTCATGAGAATATCACTTGCATTTCCAAAACACTGTGAGGTATGATGGTTTGCACAATAGGTGCAATTATCCTGAACACCGATATATGAAAGCACAATAATTTTTGGCCTTTGGCTTTGTTCAGAAGAATGGATTGTCCTACATAATTATGACCAGGTGTGCTAAATTACACTAGCACTTTTTTCCAGATCTGTGTATTATGTGTGAAAGCATCTATCTCACTACACTTTCATGAAATTCCTGACAGGTTTATTTCATGTGTGCTTTTTGCCATTTGAATTACCCTAAAATAAGTTTCATGTTTTCTACAGCATTTTAATGCTATCTCATGGTATCATTTTGATGGTTTTTCCAACTCTTTTCATTGTCTGAAAACATCAAAATCTATCTGATACATATTATTAAAAATAATAAATTCTTAGATTCAATAATGAATAAAAGGGATAAAAAGTTACTTCTTGCCTTCTCTGATTGTTTCAACGATGAAAAAATCAACTTGAGATTTATTTTTATAATTCCCATTAGGAATGTGATGATGTCTTTGTTTGGACCTTAATGTAATCTTATTATGAATTGTATTCAGTACACAGTTATTTTGGATTAAATCTCCATTTATTGCGTTGAATAGCTGTGGTTGTTTTTCCCCTTAGAGCCTTAAATACTGTCCAGCTATTAAAACACTCCACAACCAAAATCGACTAATTAAACATAATGGCAGAAGATATTTACAGAAGTTAAATTTTCAGAATTCTTTAGGAAACGTATCTAAACCTTAGTCATGTGCTCAGTGGCAACAATTTGAATTCCTATCTTTTATCCTTATTTCTATTGTATAGCAATAGGAAAAATGTGCATCAACAAGACCACAACATTTCAACAAACTGACATACTTGAGCCCCTAATTCAAAAGAAGATAAATTAATTGTTTCATTAAGAATGAGTGTGAAAGAGACTCTTTGGTCAAGCCCATGAAAGAGTGGGGTAACTATTATGATGTCAAACTCTGATTGGGAAAGCATTAAACTAAGTGCTGTTTTCACAGCTGTCTGATAACATGATGAATAAATAGCAGTATGAGAGATACTATAGTTTTGCCTTTGACGTACCTTTTTTTCCCCTCCATCATCTCTAGCTGTAAGCACAAGATGTACCTGGAAAGGCTGCCAAACACCAGCATCATTATCCCATTTCATAATGAAGGTTGGACCTCACTCCTGCGAACCATACACAGTATAATTAACCGAACCCCGGAGAGTCTGATAGCAGAAATCATCCTGGTAGATGACTTCAGTGACAGAGGTAAGATACAGTTGACGACATTTTATCCGATTCTGTTATCACTCACATACTCATTAAGGGCTTTTCTAAAAAACAAAATAACGAGAGTTTCTTTCTGATTCCTTCTGAAACATGACTATGAAGTTTTATCTATGTTGTGATTTCATAAAATGTTGGCCAAATGCAAAAGAAACTTAATGAGAAGATATTGGTGTCTTTTGGGGGAACTATAAGAAATTTGCATTACATTTCTGTTGTAAACTAGACAAGTGTTGGCAAAATGCCTCAAATTCTGCTTTCAACTTCAGAGAAAACACTGCAAAATATATTAATGTGAGTACATCCAAATGGTGAAATACTTGAATGGAACTATAAAATCTGTTCCTGTTTCTGAAAAGTGTCTACTCTTTTGTTAATGGTATGATACATTCTGCAGGTTGTGCTTGTGTTGCCTCGTAAATATTAGAAATTATAAGGAACACAAATACATATTTTTACTTGGCAATTCTAGCTATTTTATCTATTTGAACAATAACAAAAACAGACTAGTGTAACAGTGTATTAGAAAATTTGACATGAATTTTAATATTTTTATAAATCTTATAAGACACAATTTGGCTTATAAGACAGGGCAATAAAATTACAGAAAGTTTCCTGAGAGTAGGATATCATAAGTCATATCTGATCTAATTATGAGAGCTGTTAATGCTTCACGGAAAGTAAAGTTCCCTCTTTCTTGGTTTGTGTGATTGGAGGAGAGAAAACCTTTCTCATAATAATCATCATCTATTTGGAAGCATAATTTTCTACCTTATATTTCATTGCATGAAGGAGCTTGGCTTCATTCTACTGTGTATTTGTAAAGAAGAATGACAGTAAAATAATTTGATTTAATATTATTGTTATGTCTCAAAAGAGAATACATCTTGAGATCATGTGGGTTAATTGAGGTTTTAGAAATTTTATTTGCAGCAAAAATGTCATTTTTTCATAGTATTCAAAAATTCTATAAAAGCCACACTGCTTAGTGCTTAGTGTGTTAATTTTGAACTCTCTTTAGTAGAACTATAGTATTTTAAATACTTATTTTTATGTACTGATTATAAATATACTGGTTCAGGAGTTGACTAACATCAATATGTGTTAAAAAGTTGATATGACAGAAATGAGGTTAATACTATTCTGTTAAAATGCAAACTACCACCTTAGTCATTTAAGTTTGGTTGCAAAGAGGTTTTTGCTTTGTGTTGCTAGGTGGGTACACATTCGATACTACCTAAGAGTAAGAGACAGTATGTAAAACTGAAATTTCAGAGACTAAAAAACAATATTTAAATAATATGTTTATTTCTTTTGATTCTAATTGAGTCTACTTATATCAAAGCAGTCATTATTACCTCAGGCTAAAAATAGGCATTTGTGTTAATAAAGCTAAAGCCTTATTTTTTAAAAATGTAAAAGGAAACAAAGATCTGAGTCTGCAGATCACCAAGTGAATGGTCTTTGTGGCTTACTGGTACCAGGAGAAGTAAAGTGGTGTATCTTTGCATTGTTTCCTACAAAATCAACTTTTCCTTGGTCAACTATTTATTATACCGGAATTTTGACCTGGGGGTAATAAAGTAAGAAACACTTGGTAGCAGAAAACTGTAGTTTGTAAGCATTTTTTGCTGAATATTTCTCAGAGGTATATTTCAAGTGAAAGTCTTTACAAAGGTTAAAAATAATGACATCAACATTTTTCTAGCTTCAAATCACTGTCATCTTTGGTACAGTAGCAACTTTGATGGACTGTGTTCTGTGTTTCTGCATATAATGTTACCTGGGAAGTAAGTAGCCTGTCAATGTAATCATTATTAATGAGGTGGATTAACAGACAGTGAATTGTTTGGGATGGTAATTTTTTTTTTAATTTGTATACATTTATGGGATATAGATACAATTTTGTTATTAATACACGCAAAGATTGCATAGTGGTCAAATGAAGGCTTTTATGGTATCTACCACTCAAATAATGTACATTGTACCCATTAAGTAATTTCTCATCATCCACTCATTTGCATCCCCCCCTACCCTTCTAAGTCTCACCTGCTTATCACTCCTCTCTTTATGTCCATGTGTACACTTTTTAAAGCACCCACTTATGAGTGAGAAGGTGCAAAATTTGACTTTCTGTTTCTGGCTTGCTTCACATAATATAATAATCACCAGTTCTATCCATGTTGCTACAAAAGACATGATTTCATTCTTTTTTATGGCTGCATAGTATTCCATTGTGAATGTAATTTTCTTTATCTTTCATCTGTTGATGGACACTTAGGTTGATTCCATGTCTTTGCCATTATGAATAGTGCTGTGACAAACATGCAAGTGCAGGAGTCTTTTTGATAAGTTGATATATTTCCCTTTGGTTAGATATTCAATGGTGGGATTGAAGATAGGATGGCAGTTCTACTTTTAGTTCTTTGAGAAATCTCCATACTCTTTTCCAGAGAGGTTGTACTAATTTACATTCCCAGTACAGTGTATAAGTGCTCCTTATTCTCCCCATCCTTGCCAACATCAATTGCTTTCTGTCTTTTTAACAGTAACCACTCTGGGTGGGGTTAAGATGATATTTCATTGTAATTTTAATTTGCATTTCTCTGATGATTAGGGATGTTGAGCATTTTTTCATATACCTAACCTATTAGGCATTTGTATGTCTTCTTTTGAAAAATGTTTATCCGTGTCATTTGTCCACTTTTTAATGGGGTTATTTGTGGGGGTTTTATTATTGAATTGTTTGAGTTCCTTATATATACTGAATATTAGTACCCTATTGGATGAATAGTTTGCAAATATTGTTTCCCATTCTGCAGATCGTCTGTTCACTCTGTTGATATTTATTTTGCTGTGCAGATGCTTTCAATTTAATTAAATTTCATTATTTTATTTGCCTGTGCTTTTGAGGTCTTAGTCATAAATTCTTTGCCTAGACCAGAACGCCAGAATAATTTTCCATAAGTTTTCTTCCAGTGTTTTTATCGTTTTTGGTCTTTTATTTAAGTATTTAATTCATATTGAGTTCATTTTTGTATTATGGTAAAAGAAATGGGTCCAGTTTTATTTTTCCTCATATGGTAATCCAATTTTCCCAGCACTATTTATTGAAAAGGTATCCTTTTCCAAGGCATGTTCTTGTCAGCTTTGTCAAGGATCAGTTGTCTGTAAATATGTAGCTTTATTTTATCGACCTATGTGTCCATTTATATACCAGCACCATGTTGTTTTGATTACTGTAGCCTTCTACTATAATTTGAAGTCAGATAATGTGATACTCTGGGTTTGTTCTTTTTGCCTAGGGTTGCTTTGGCTATTTGGACTCTTTTTTGGTTCCATATGAATTTTAGAATTGCTTTTTCTAATTCTGTGAAAAATGATATTGATATTTTGGTAAATATTGCATTGAATCTGTAGATCTCTTTGGGCAGAATGGCCATTTAAATGACACTAATTCTTCTGATTCATGAACACGGGATGTTTTTCCATTTGATTTCGTCACCTACAATTTCTTTCATCAGTGTTGTTATAGAGCTCTTTTACATCCTAGTAGGTATATTCCTAGGTATTTTATTGGTTTTTGTAGCTATTGGGAATGGGATTGTGCTCATGGTTTCACTCTCAGCTGGATCATTATTGGTGTATAGAAACACTATTGATTTTTGTACATGATTTTATATCTTACAAATTTACTAAATTTATTTATTAAATGTAAAAGTTTTTTGGTGGAGTCTTTAGGTTTTTCCAGATATAAGATCATCTCATCAGCAAGCAGTGATACTTCGAGTTCATTTTTTTCCAACTTGGATGCCTTTTATTTCTTTATTTCTTTTTCTTTCCTGATTACTCTGGTTAGGACTTCCAGTACTATGTTGAATAAGAGTGGTGAAAGTTGGCATCCTTGTCTTGTTAGAGAAATGTTTTAAACGTTTCCCCATTCAGTATGATGTTGGCTGTGGGTTTGTCTTGTATGGCCTTTAATATTTGGAGGTATGTTTCTTCTATACCTACTTTCCAATTGGATGTTTTTAAGAACAATAATTACTTTAATGTCCAGGTAAAGCTTTAATTTATATATTCTATTTCTATAAACCATCAAGTTGAAAGTATCATTTTATCAAAGGCAAAAGTAAATGTTGTAATAAATGATAAAAATAATTCTATAATCTTTTGTAATACATGATCATTTTAAAGATCTATGAAATAAGAAAGACCCGTTTTTCAAATTTTTGTTTTAGATTATAAAATTCCATCTGATAGTATGAGTTGGGGTATATTAGGGCTTAAGTGAACCTGGAACCATCACTCCTGCTTTCTGCATTTTGGGAAATTAAAATTAATTAACATCATGAGCACAGTTCAGAATCTCAACATCACTTTTTAACTGTATGACATTGGGTAATTAAATTTTCTGAGTCTCAGATTTGTTTTATCAAAATGAGGAGAATGATAGCAACTCTTCATAGAAAGGTTAAGAGGGAGAGCATCCATGGATGGTTGATGGAATTGTGTACTACACAGGAAAATAATTGCTCTCAGCCATTGGTTTCATTTTTTTTTAATTTCAGAATATTATGGGGGTGCAAATGTTTTGGTTACATGGATTGCTTTTGTACTGTTTGAGTCAAAGTTGTAAGTGTGCCCATGATCCAGATAAAGTACACTGTACCTGTAAGGTATGATTTCACGCATCCCCTCCTCCTCCCTCGCACCTGTCTGATTTCTGTTAAATTTTATCTCTATCTATGTACATAAGTGCTGATCCATCAGTTCCAGTTTAATAGTGAGTATATGTGGTGTTTGTGTTTCCAGTCTTGTGATACTTAGGAGATGGTCTCCATTTCCATCCAGAGTGTTGCTAAAGGTGTTAATTCATTTTTTAATGGCTAAGTATTACTCCATGGTATACATATACCACATTTTATTAATCCACTCATGAATTGATGGGCACTTGGGTTGATTCCATTTCTTTGCAATTG